TGCAAACCAACTCAGGGATCTTTTTAAAGACCCAGTGGCGTTTAAGAAGTATTTTGACCTTCTTTTTGGAATCTGTTGAGTTTCTCGATGATCTTGATAGTTCTTGTACTAAGATTGAAGTTGACTTGGTGTTTGATTACTGTACTGCTTGATGTCTGAATTCCAATTTTTTTCTATTTTTTCTTTTCTTTTCCTTTCCTTATCCCGTTATCGGCCCTCTTAAGAGTTGTGTGTATCACTGTTGAGGCATCCGATGGTAAATAAAATAAATACTACTACTAAATACTACTTCAACAGGAAACAGAACAGATTTTTCTTATTGAAAATGGAAAAATTTCATGTATCGACGCCCCTCTAAAAAGCAATTCATGCGACGCCGAACATATCAGTGACCCCCCCCCCACAATTCTTTTTGGACAGTCAACATAATCACTACCCAAGGGACAAATTCCCAACTTTCCATGTGTTTTTAATTTTTGGAGTTTGGTGGTCTGAGCCTCCTTAATTTGCGACCTTGAAATGGCTACAAGAATGGCGAACGGACCTCATCTTATGTTGAGTATGAATTAGACCTAATATCCTCCAGACACAATTCACAACGGGACAGGAAGGTGGAAGGACATTTATTAGGGTAGACGAAGAGACGGAGACAAAGACGAACTACTACGACTACATTATGATTATTGACGAGAGCGAGATTATTGAAGAGAGAGAGAGAGAGAGAGAGAGAGAGAGAGCTCGACTGAGAAACAACGCAAAGTAAAGGGCCTGGTTAGCTATGGCAAACATGGGCGCGCAAGTGCCTACCCAGGCCAACGGAACGAAAGGTGAGTATGACGTAGTACGGGTGCATGCAGGCCGGTAAAAAAAAAAAAAAAGTAAATTATCGTATCCGTTCCCGAAGGGAACTCACGACGGCCGCTAACACCCGATAAACCCTAGCGGCAGATGCAGCTTAGGAAAGGTTGTAGGTAAGATTGTACGGGAGGAGGTACCTAACATACCTCCCCTGAGCAAAAAAAGAACCACGACCTCCCGGGAAATATTAAGACGATGAGAAAACACACATACACACACACAACGCACGGATCTCACAAAAGTGCTATACTGTACTACATGTTACATGCACTACAGTTTGTTCTGCTTCGCATGGCTAAACAGCTTAGTTATCCACTTTTTGCAACCAGAATGATAGAGCGTGGCTCACCAACGGACCCCTAATATTGATGGCCGGAAACATTCGCACACACACACACACACTACAAAAAAATCACGAAATAAATAAAGAGTATAATAGCCCCCCCCCCCTCTCTCTCTCTCTCTCTCCTCAACCATTCTACCTAACCTTCTCTTGTCTTTATCGCTAAATCACCCCCTTCTTTTAGGCTATGGTGCGCAAGCTCACGTTAACGCCGAGACCATAGGTCGGTGTGGTGGGCTTGCCTCACCAGCACAGGCTTGCTTTGCAGCCCCTACTCTCCCTGCTGTTTTGTTATTGTATACTCTGTTGTCTTCTCCCCTTCTGACGAGTAGGTTGTGTACTTATTAAAAAAAAATGTAGACATGGCCAGACGAGTTAATTTTGAATAATAAAAATCCTTTAAAATTCCATTTTCTTTTCGACTCTCTCGTACACACCACAACAACAACAACAATAGAACTGCAGGGTCGCAGCAACAGCAGGGTCGCAGCAACAGCAGGGTCGCAGCAACAAGGAAAGGACTGCAGATGTTCAAAGAAAAGGTCAACACCCACCTGCGCCTTACCCGCTGGGAGTGGGCAACGGACAGGCTATGAATCAAAGAAAAAAGACGAAAAAAAGCTCTAACTCTGTTCCCTCCTCCATTCACTTCGTTGACTCTCTGATAACTTCTTATTGTGCATACTTTCCCCCGTAATTCCCAGTTATCTACCCCCCCCCTGCGTATTTTCTGTAATCTTTTGTTTTTGTGGAGCGCTTGGGTTGCAATGAAGCCGAGACCCTATGGTCGGTCAAGCTGCACCTGCCTCTCCCCACTCCTTCCATTCCATATGTCCCATCGCTGCCTTGCTGCTTTGTGCCGTCAAATGGTGTGTTTTTTTGTAAAAAAGAAAAGAAGAAAAAGAACAGCTGCTCCAAGAACAAAAAGAACGCCCCTGTACAGCAGCAGTGCAAGAACAAAAAGAACAAAAAGAACAAAAAGAACACTGTCTTCAGACCAGCATGCACCTTCATGCACCTTCATGTGCATGCTGCAACTCCGCACTGTGCAGCCAGTGCGTACTGCACTCCCAGCACAGTCCGTGAACTCTGGACTGTGCACCCGCGTTTCGAAAAGAACAACATTTCTTGTTTACTTCGTTGGTATTATCCAACAAGAAATGAGGCATACTTAGTTGTTGTCTGGCCATGTCTGCATCTATTATACTGTTAATTGCACTCATAAAATTGCTTTCTCCGCACCGACTCTTGAAATAAATAAACTGAAAATAAATTTGACGAAGTAGGACGCACGAAAGAGAGAGAGAGAGAGAGAGAGAGAGAGAGAGAGAGAGAGAGAGAGAGAGAGAGAGAGGGAGGGGGGGGGGGGGGAGAGGAGAGAGAGTGAGAAGGGGGGGGGGGAGGGGAGGGAGAGAGAGAGATATCGAGCCAGAGATCGATCAGTATGTGAGAGTAGCTGACCGAGTTACTGCTCCGCTGCTACGAGGTTGAAAACTAGACGAGACTGACGACGAGACGAATGCCGGGCGGTAGAGCAAGAGGGTCATGGGTTCCGAGCAATGGTTGGGCGCCAATGTTGAGTATGGATTAGACCCAAAATTCTCCAGACACAATTCACAACGGGACAGGTAGGTGGAACGACATTTATTAGGGTAGACGAACAGATGGAGACAAAGACGAACTGCGACTACATTATGATTATTGACGAGAGCGAGATTATTGAAGAGAGAGATCTCGACTGAGAAACAACGCAATATAAAGGGCCTGGTTAGCTATGGCAAACATGCGCGCGCAAGTAGCTACCCAGGCCAACGGAATGAAAGGTGAGTATGACCTAGTGCGGGTGCATGCAGGCCGGCCAGCTTAGGAAAGGTTGTACGTAAGATTGTACGGGAGGAGGTACCTAACATTTAGCTTCAATTTATGAAAATTTAGGATGAGTCTTGGTTTGAAATTTTGACAAAGTCTGTCTACCGGCACCGACGATCACCGGCGCGAAGGGGTCACAAACCACTTTTGGTCAAAATTGTACGGGATCGGCGCCAGGGCAAATCGCAAGAGTTGGAGAGTGTCCAACTTTGCCGGCGGTCCCTAGCAATATTTTACCGTATGATTTTGTTATGACTGCACTGGTTCACATTATCGCAATGCGCCGGGATAAGTTGCCAGAGGCCCACTCCCGGTGACTCCCGGCGCGTACCGGCGATATGTGAACCAACACTTTGAGCTTTGTAATCTAACCAGGGCTTGCTGGAGAGCCCGGTCAACCGGGTAACGCGCCCGGCTGGGGACCTGCACGACCTGGCTGAACAGATAACACCGGGTCCAGTCTGACCCGGCTGAAAAATGTCTCAAACTGACAATGGATTCCTAAAATACCGGTATTTTACGACTCGCGGACCCCATCTGTTGCAAATCTAGCGCAACCGTACACACTACACTCTACAGACTACAGTATACAAGCGACAGAAACTCGGCTAGGGTCAACTTACTGGGGTCAACTGGCTCGAGCGCGATCTGGCCAGCGGCGAGCAGGAAGTCAGGACATTCAAAGTCGATGGGGCAGGCAGTCAAAAGCGTAACTTTGGCTATAGCTTTTGACGCAGTTGCAAGTTTTCAGCCGACTGGTGATTTGGACGATGGAGCCCGCAGCGAAGAGTAAAAAACTCACGCTTTGAGAAGTTTCCAAGACTCTTGGAAGAAAGGTCGACCCTTGCTGGACTACGACCATGCCAGTCTATCCATGTCATGCGCTTTGTGCAAGACGCATTTCCAAAGGAAGACGAGTGGCGGTGGATTTGGTTGCGATGCGTGGTTGAAAGGTAAGAACTCACTGCTTCAACTACGACAAGGCTATGGCTGCATGGCATTCTGAGGTGACTGGGCGCACTACGACTGCAACGTTAACCCGTCTGAACGGAAGGACCTGGCCCGCACACCCAGAGCAGCAGCGGCAGCAGCAACACCAGCAGCAGCAACAGCGCCACCAGCAACAGCAGCGCCAGCAGCAGCTGCCAGTAGCGCCAGCAGCAGCAGTTGCAACTCCACCAGTTCTCCAGTCTGCTGAAGCCTTTCAGCACATGGTGCAGCAGATGCCAGTCCGAGGCAGTCGGCTTGGCCATGCAGGTGATGCAGTGGCAGCAAGCAGCCACTCCACAAGGTGCTGCAGGCACCCTCCAGTGCTCTATTATGTTACTGCTTTGCATTCTTCACATAATGTCGTTTACCTTCTACGTTTGCGGACTTTGATAATTCGCCTTGTTCTCTAAAATTTCCGATTTCCGGTAATAAATTCGCCTTTCTGTTTTCCTGCGTTCTGAGCAGGCTTTTTGGTTGTTTTTCTGCAGGATGATCTGACCCGGCTTGACCCGGCTGGCCTGCATGCGCCAGGTACACTCTGACTGGGCTGAGTTGAATGTCAAGAGCAGGCCCTGCTAACGATTCTTCACCAAGGAGTAAATGCGATGCTTTTGCTCGAAAGCCCAGGTCTTCAAACAACGTTGATCCGCAATTTGTAATGATCTGAAAATATTTTAGTGTGTTGCAAATTATTTATGATAACGGCCGCCGTGGGTCGAGTTTTGTATTGCTGGTGGTGAGAGTGTCAAAATTGAGATGCGACTTGCTACAATGGCTTCTTCTTGTCCTGAGCTTTCTAAAAAACAATGGATCAAAAATATCCATCACATACGGAACTTTGAGCCGGTGATCTCATCACATTGCAAATGCCGACAATTCAGTGTAACAGATGTGGAAAGTGTGAATGGCTGCACGGCATATTCCAAGATGGGTGACTTACAGAGTTATTGTTGTATTCGGTATTCCACCAGGCACCATTGTTAATCTGCGATACTGGCAATTTACAGTGTACCAAGGTGCACCAGCACACGTACATGATGCTGGACAACTCATCACTGTAGTACCGGTGAGTACATAGTAGCAGATTACCAATGACAGTACAGTGTGGATTGACATCTGTTAGAAACAGGACACGAAGATGTTGGCCGTAGCCATCATCACATTCGCACTCATGTTATTGAGTTCTTGGCACTTCTTCTTTCAGATAAATACCAACAAACGAACAACAAACATGTTTAGCACCGCTGGATTAGTCACATAGTCTTTACCCATATCTGGAAACCAATGGGGCCAATAATGCTGACTGCGAGGGTATTAGTCCTGAGTTAATTCAGCGTAATGCATCACACAAGGAGCGAGGTCACATTCCTTTCCACTAATCTACCAGCACTAAAACATCCATGCCCTTGCCCTCTCTTTGACTGAAATCGCCAAAGACCACAACACGCTGACAACAGCACCAAGGGACGAGAAATGCGAGTCATAAACTGATCCATGGCAACAAATCCACAATGACGGCAACAGTCGCTCAAGATATCATGCTCTCTAAAGCCATATATGTACGGAAAATGTACGCCGACTGAATTTGATCTCGACTCACCTCAAATTCCATAATTCTCCGGGCTACGACTTTATTCTCCTTTTGACGATTTTTTCAATCTTGGGCTTCCTTGAAAGCTCGTCGCAAGAGGAGCCTACACTTGCCATTACGAATGTTAAAACTCTGGCGCTATATCCAAGTGTCTTAGTTGCCACGCCAATAATCCAACAACGTACAGCCAACTGACGATCTCCAACAGTCCACCGCCTCCCTCCAAGGGTCCCTCAACAGTCTTGAGGAGTGGGGCCGCAAGTGGCGTATCTGTTTTGAGCCAGCCAAGACACAGCGCTTGACTCTACTTCGCAAGCACGTTCCAGCCTGCACTCCACCAGTCACCTTTGGAGGTGAAGCACTCCAGGAGACAGATACCCTGAAGCTGCTGGGAGTCATGCTCGACCCTACTCTCTCCTACAGAGCGCACACTCGCAGTGTTGCACTGCGCGCCTCCCAAAGGCTAGGTTTCCTACGAAAGGCAGCACCCATCCTGGACGACCATGGTCGAGTGACGGTCTACAAGGGATTCGTGCGACCCCTACTTGAATATGCCCCACTGGCCTGGTCGAGCGCAGTCGCAACTAACATGGCCCAGCTGGACAAGGTTCAGCAACGTGCCCTGCATTTCCTGGGACCTGGAACCATCCTCCAAAGTCTTCAGCTTCGTCGGATGGTGGCAGCCCTGTCATACTTGTTAAAGCTGCACTACATTCCAGGGCCTCCTCAGGTAAAGGCCATGCTGTCACCAACCAAGCCCCCTGCCGTAGCTAGCATGTGCACACGGCAAAAACGTCAGACGCACCATGCCTTTCAGCTGAAGTGGACACCCCCTCGCACAGCCCCTGACTACCTCCTGCGGTCCTTCCTCTTCTTCGCCATCACACCCTGGAACAACCTGCCTGCGGACCTCCTGCTTCACGAGCCTCATTCAAGACGCCTCCAAACCTTCAAGGTCAACGTATGTAAGGATCTAATCCGAAAGAGATGGCGGTGGTCCACACAGTACCTGTGACGATGATATTGAGACCCATTTAGTATTTACCTCTCTACTAGTACTTGCTTGTTATGATTATTGTTCTCTTTCTTCATTTTCCCTTCTGGTTTAGTCATTACACGTATTTATATTATTTGGTGCAATACTAGCGCCCCTTTCCCGCACCAAATTATTATTCTTGCTACCTGACCATGCAACTCCCCCTTTTTTCGTGGCCAGTTTGCAACGCTAACGCCGAGACCCCTGGTCGGTCGAGCTGCTCCCTGTACATCGGCACGTCGTCCCTACATCCCCTGTGTCTTGTCTTGTGTTTGTCTCCACATGTCTCTTTGTAGGGCTGTGTTCCCAATAATTTTTTTTTTTTTAAACAGAAGTCGTCTTGCCATTTCGCTCTTAGCCTTGCTCGTAACAAACTAATTACTTCCAAAAGTTCACAAACTGTCACTAGTCCGTATGCCGTTTCGAACGTGTTTCACCGTCACTACATGCCCAGAATGATTGGGAAATCCCTCATTAAAATCTGTGCACGCGGCTATTGCGCGACATTCGCCGCGATTCGACTTTCAGGCTTCGTAACTCTGGAACCACACATCGGGGCGCTTCCATCGATTGTTTCAATGGGCAGCTGGGAATATTCTGTTCGACCTACATATACGAATTTTAGTTCTTGGAAATATAACAGGCCTGCCTGAGTTATGATCAATTGAAATGTTGCACACAAAGGTGACTATTTATGGTATCATAAGGTGTAGGTTATTAGATCTAAAACTAATACAAGAAACACTGATATTCTAAAGATAGCACTATTGGAGGCGTGATTACATGAGCAGCAAGCAGTGTGCAATGTTTGTGAGTACTCGTAGATCTGCTGTACTCAAGCATTTTGTGTCCTACCCCCAGTGCTTGCAATTGTACGATGATTCCTGCTTCAGTGTGGTGTGCCATGCTAGTAGTTTTCGTCTACTCTCCGTATTTGAAGCCATGTTTATTCGTACTCGTGTTCCAGATTTATGCAAGCAGAAAGAATTCGTTACAGCACTCATGCTTTAACATACCAACACTCACATACATGTACCTTTCTTCACACCTGCACTTCTCCAATCTACACTTGCTTTCACACTGCTCGCTGCTCATGTAATCATGCCGCCAATAGTGCTAGCTGTAGAATAGCAGTGTTTCTTGTATTAGTTTTAGATTTAACAAAGGAGACTGTGACAGTTGGACTACTTTAAGACATATAGCTTCCAAAACTTATTGAAACTCGGATGTTGAGCCAATAATAAATATAGAAAGGAAGAGGACATATGGATACGAGTTAAGAGTAACTCTCCATTACTGTAACCAGATACTATAATTATATTATTGTCAGAAAGTGCAACAACTAGGCACAATTGGAAGGCTGTCGGTTATTTATTTATTTATTACAACATCTCAAGACTCGGCGGAAACACCGGCCAATGTTACGAGAGTGGGTGATTGGCAACCACGGAGATGTGTTGAAGCTAGGTGTCAGGACGTCGAATGTCTCAGTACTTTGTCAGCTTTGTGCCTAGTTGTTGCACTTTCTGACTGTAGAGTATCTGGTTACAGTGATGGAGAGCCCTTGGCGGATTATGCCGGCATAATATTTGGCATAATCTTGGGATTTCGTCAAAAAATTATGCTCCGGCATAATATACGGATTCCAACGTGTAAGGTCGGCATATTCTTTCGGTTTAGACAAAAAATTATGCTTAGGGCATAATACAGCTTTGTCAGAAAGCCTGCAGATGGTTCTTTTTTAAATACCCCAGTTACGACTCCTTGTCATAGCCCTTGGCGGATTATGCAGGCATAATATTTGGCATAATCTTGGGATTTCGTCAACAAATTATGCTCCGGCATAATATACGGATTCCAAAGTGTAAAAAATAAAAAAAATTATCGTATCCGTTCCCGAAGGTAACTCACGACGGCCGCTAACACCCGATAAACCCTAACGTGTAAGGTCGGCATAATCTTTCGGTTTAGACAAAAATTATGCTTAGGGCATGGCCATGTGTGTATGCGTTGTTTCTCAATCCTCTATGTACAGCGTGAATACATAGTGGAACCGAGCATAATTCAGCATAATTCAGCATATTTGTTGGCATAATTGTGGCATAATCAAAAGCATAATTTGACGATTGGCCGAGCATAGTCCGCCAATGGCTAGTGATGGAGAGTTACTCTTAACTCGTATCCATTATGTCCTCTTCCTTAAAACTTATTGACGTTTAGATTTGCTATTTAACTCGGATGGTGAGCCAATTAAATTATTGTGAAAAGACTGTATAAGATCTGGTGACGTTGGTGGACAGTTGGTCATAACTCGTAACATTTTGTCCTTATTCTTTTCACAATTTTTGCTATTATTATTCATTCTCACTTTCTTTTGTTGGTGATACACATATGCAACGCGTATAATTCTCATACACTTGTTTTGTGCACACCTTTATGAAAAGTATCACACTTTGATATTTTAGTGCTGTCACTGTACCTTGATACTCTAACTTGATATTATTTCCTTTGTTCTTATTTTGTTCTTTAGTACAACGGTGATTCCTGAAGAGTGTTGTGCGAAAACATGTTCGAATCATCTTTTTTCCATGACCGAGTTGGTCGCAACTTCTGAATTATCTTCACTTTGCCATTTAAGTAGAACTAGTAGTAGTAGTATTTTACTTGGGTATACCCAACAGGCCTATGGCCTTCTTACAAGGTGCCCAAGGAGAAATTGTGAGCAGCTAGCGCGAAAAGCAGGCAAGGTACGCTGGGATCGTATGATCGCTGGTAGTGCACCAAGAGCGGTCAGCACCAAGAAATGAGAGACTGTAGAGGCCTGGCCGGGACATGAATAGGGGGAGAAAGAGACTACTGAATGTGTGGCCTCTGGTCTGGGAGGTAGTGTGGGTAGCATCATTTCGGGTCGTGAAGATTTGTGAGGTGAGGGGACTGCCAAGGGACCTGATGCACCGAAAAGTACAAATGTACAGCTTCAAATGTCGGCAAGAATCAAACCTGACTAATGTATGGTGTAATCTTCACATCCGCACACGTTACATTTATCTGTGGTTGCTTGAGTAATGCAAGCGGGACTCTAGTAAAGGCCCTGCAGTGAGAGTCGTCACAGACTGGAAAGAAAATCACATCCATGTCGAGCTAAGCAGGAGTGTTTGCGGGAGACCCAAGAACGCGACATAGGAGAACAAGCCACGAAATGTGAGTTTTATATAAGGAAGATTTTTCCTGGGACTCTCTCAGCCAGAGTTTTCGCATCCGCACGGGTTTCAAACCTCTCCAGGATCACCCCGCAGATCAGACCGACCATCAAGTAGTCAATGACCGAAAATCCCATTTGCTGCATCCATGTTTTCCTTGTGCCAGGCTACGAGTTAGCAAATAACTGTATGGTGAACGACACTTCCCCCATCCGATATACATGTACTTGTATGTTTTCATTGCCTATACTTCGAAGTATGTTTCATTCAGTATTATAACGGTCCTTTGAAAGGAAAAGAAAGGACATCACGGCAGTGTCTAGGAAGAGTAGATAACGTAGAAGGTAAGTGAAACGGTCTCCCTCTGCAGTAGACGTGTAAGGGGAATGAATTTCGGAAAACTTGGCCTGTGCTGCTTTTTGGTTTTGTTGATGTCGTTTCTTTTCCGTTCAAGGAATCCTGATCCTGGCGTACTTTGTGTGTGCAGACGCCAACAACATCAAGCTAGCCTGAGTAACACGGTCCCACCACCACTACCCGCATTTATTAGGAAGCAAAGTGGACGTAACTCTGCTAACTTAGAAACATTGTTGAGTCACACTTGCCTTACAGCGTCACTTACCTTAAACTCAAGCACCATAGTGCTCGTCTTCACTGGTTGCAACACTGTTGAAAACCAGTACTGGGAAATGTTCTCAATTTTAATGGTAAATTCAAATCCGGCCAACACAACCCTATCGGAGACAACAGAAGGATAGGAACCATCGAGTTACCTTGAATCAATCAACATTCCCCAAACAAAACTAACCAAAATATTTCCACATACCAGCTGTTGGTGTATATTCCAGGATCAATCGGGTGTAGCACACGGATCACGATAAGGTTCGTTTGCCTTGCGAAAAGGAGCGCTGCTTCCGGGAGCAAGGCCCTCAATAAAACAAATGAATTACTATTTGCTCGCTTTCTGCTTAGACTCTCTGCAAGTATATGCAAAACACACGCACGAGGAGTGCCGTGATATCAGTCTATGGTACTCCGTAGCAGCTGGATTGGCTGCTGCACGTAGATATCCTTTGCTGACTTACTAACACAAGCCTAGGAAATGAGCTACACGTACATGTACATGTACATGCACCCGTAACTAGATGGCTAATGTATACCAGGGCTATGAGTGGCACGCAGTGGCCACATGCCAGTGCTACTGTGCATGTATGTTGGACATGTCATGAGCTCAAACACACAAGCTTATCGATAACGTGACATGTCACAGGAATATTTCCTAACTATACATGGAAAGGAAAAGACGCGATATGACGCCAATCAGAGAACATGGCAGGCTGCTACACCGACAGTAGTCGAAAATAGCTCTTAGTCGGCTGAACTCAGCCTCACATGACTTTTACATGGCGCCTGCGGCAAACCCGCTTATCAACTGCTTGTCATCAAGATGTCATTAGATAAACAGCATGGCATTGTGGAACGTGCCAAACACATCCTTGCTAGTCGCTACATGTGCGTACATGTGCGTACATGTGCGCACATGTCCCTACTGTGTTTTTCTGTTGCGCCATATGGCCCATTTCCTTTCTGCTTCAACCGTGAATTTGCTCTACAAGTGTTACGTACGACCACTGTTAGAATACGCAGTCCCTGTCTGGTCATTCGCCGTATCCCATTCAGATTCGCTTACGTTAGACCGACTGCAAGCCGTTGCTGCTCGTTCATATCTGCTTTGTAAGACCCGGCACCCTCCTGAGTGGGAAACCCCGAAGCAGATTCTTAATCGTACTTGTGACTGGTCATCCCTGAAGTGGCGTCGGCAGATTCTGTCCTTGCTGTATTTTCATCATGTCTTTTACCAGTTTCCGTCTTTGCTAATTCGTTTCAAATTCAATGTATCCCTTAGTTGTCGTCACCCGTCCTCTATAGTTTTACCTCGTTCTGGCGCCCATTTCTTTAAATCCCCTCTCTTCAGTTTATCTGTGGAATGGAACAAACTTCCAGAACACATCCGCTGCGTTCAGTCCTCTGTCAATTTTCGCATTGCTCTAAAGGCTCATTACTCACAGCATAGATATTCTCTGACTGGAATTCCGAACTTTTCCGTTTGAGAATTTTTTTTTCCTTGAAATTAATCCTTGCTGGGGTTTTTTCATCTAAATGTCCCGCTATTATCTGCAGAGGTGATTTCTTCCCTCGTCGATTTCTTTCCTGCTTTTATACCTCGATATTTAGGTACTTGTTTCCCTTCTTCCCATGCTTCATCTTCCACTCTCCTCTCCCCCATTTCCCCATTTTTCTTGCGATATTTATGTGGGAGACTTCCGTGATAAGCATCCATTTGCTTTTGGAGAATCCTTTTAAATAAATACAATACAATACAATACTGTATAGGCGATGTACTAGAGCCAGAATGACCTGGCTGGAGCAGTCGATTTCTCTATAGATTTTTCGATTCAATGTGCAACTTGACATTCAGCTACCCGTCTGGCAGGCTTCATACGCAACCAAATCCATTTGGTGAGACTTGACGCCAAGACGTGCAGGTCGTCTGACCCTCACGTGTCCAACTCACTCTATCTGCTCACATGTCCCAGCCACTCTAGATGCTGGATATGTACATGGACTCTTATAATCAGCTTCTCATTGTCCATCATGAAAAGTGTGCTTTTGAAAACCTCACACAATCCCCCTAGCCTGGCCGGTGCATAACACCGAAGACAGTTAGACGCTGGGTGTGTGTGTGTGGGGGGGGGGGGGGGGACATTCATTCGGGGTCCAGGCAGCGGACGCCTATAACAACATGCCCATGATATGTTTTCCAACTTTACATGGGCGAATGGCCACCATACCAATCTGAACAACCAGAAGTCTGGTTCAAATGAGTCAAGTTTTAGCTTTTGTAGCGCATGCCACTTGTACATTGCACAACACAGCCTGTCACAGTTTGTAAGCAACATGCCTTCGGACAACCTACATGCCATGGTTAAACTAGCAGAGGAACTACTTGTAGGCCCGAACATGGGCACACGGGCGATGTGCAGGTGAATAAATCACAGAGGCCGTCAAGTACAGACTAGTGCGTGACTTTTAACCTTTTCCATCCCGGCCTGAAACCCATGAATTCCCAGTCCGCTCGCTGCGCCTCTCTCTCTGTCGCCCGGCAGAGCAGACCTGTGATTCGAAAAAATTCTAACTTCACTCACCAGGAACGGAAGTTGATCATCTTGGGCTCTTTGGAAAGCTCGAAGCCTTCTCTGTCCAAACGAAAAGAATAATCACTCAGCAGGAGCAATAGAGTTGCCTTCACACTCCGTTGAGAGCTCCTCTATCGGGCCTCGAAGAGATATTCCACACCCAGTCACAAATTTCTTCGCTTCTACAGTTTTACTCAGCGCAGAGCAAAGATTCAAACTCTCTCAGATTCCTGAAGTTCAAGCGCTCATTTTTGTACCCAACACGCATGGGCTGTGCCCCTGTGAGTCATAGGGAAAGTCCCTTCCCTGCCGATGTCCACTCGAAAATCCAAGGTGCGAAATTTTGTGCCCTGTATTTCGGCCCGTGAATTGCGTTTCCACCTTCGGCGCTCCGGTATTTTACTTTTCGCCCCAGCAAACGACATACCATTGGAAAGCTTATTCCTTCAGCTTTCCAACGAGCCGTCAGGTGTGAGAATCGAAGAAAGTATAACAGAGTTACGAATGTTTGAATAGCGAGGTATACGCAATCCGAGTTCACTGTACATACAGTACATTTTCTACCCGAGTATACTCGGGCTTGGGAAAGCAGGGCATGCTACAAAACGAGTATACTCGGGCGCGGGGTGCAAAAGGTTAAAAACAAATGGGTCAGACTAAAGTGAACTATTTACTGAAGTACTTGAACTACGACTGATCCAAGTACTGGACATGGGCTGACAGAGGTCATACGTTTCGAGTGTAGACATGGTAAATGGCATTACTGGCAAATAAACACTGCTGCAACATTGATTTTGATGAACAACGGACAAAGGAATTTACCAAAGTCACATCTTTTGTTTTTATTTGTTTTATTCCCCTTCACAATATCGTGCTTCACTGTGTCCAAAAAAGAAACGAATAAAATAATGCCAAACACATGCACAGTAAAATGTGACTTTCAAGTACGATGTAAGTTTTCTGAAGTCCAAATATAGGAGGTTTGATGATAGGTGTATAGTGGTTAATTCTAGGATAGCATGTACTTCAACCGTGATCCTACGGTACTGCTCTGTAATCCCTTGCTTTACCAGTAGACCGCAATTTCAGTCCATATTTGCTTCTTTCTTCTTTTCCTTTTCTTTTTGACTTCTTACTCTTTTCCTTGTTAGCCATGGTTGACTATAAAACCCTGCAATCGCCACGCAAAGTGGTCATTGGCTACCCCAGCCATGTATTGCTTGGAATAAAATAAATAGAATAAAATAATGAAGTTGATTGTTCCAACTAGGAACACACGCTTCTTGCTGAACTTGATACTTGACTGACTCACGGATGCCATCCAGAGCACACGAGGAGCACGTCGCACCTTCCACTCGGCAAACCTGGAAGAAAGCACCACTTCTAAGTTCGTAGAATAAAATAAAAAATGTAATTGTGGTTCCCACATTGCAGGCTGGCAGTAGACATCATAAAGAGTGTGTGGTGAGTGTGTTTTGTCTTCATCTGTACATGTACATGTACGCGTGCTTGTTCTATTTCAACTACACCATAATTACTCACATAAGACCACTGTACTCAGCGTCTCAGGTGTAAAAATGCAAGTGTGGCAATGGATCATGTGTGAAAAGAAGACGTGTAAGATACATGAGGAATGTCTCACAGGTGGTCGACAAGAGACCTGCTATAGAAAGGTTTGACAGCACATTAGTTATCTAGAATGTCATGCGGTCATCATATCTATCTCTAAATAGATTGCACGACACAATATACCTGTCATGTTCATGCCGCAAGCAGCACGACGCTGCCACTTCGAAGTACTAATACTCGAACAGTGCTCCAAGTGCTGTTCTCAAGGCCCACCTACACCTGTTTAGGATAGAGTCAGCTGATATTCTAAGTTTCTTCAATGACTGTATACGTCTTAGTGCTCTGCTGCGTATCTTCATGTACTGGAGGAGAGCCAAGAGAGTTCTGTCATTTGTCAGCAACATGCCTTCGGACAACCTGCATGCCATCGTGAAACGTGCAAAGCAACTACACTTGAAATCCCTCACACGGCCTACCAAAGATGTGCTTCTGACCAAATCACAGATGCTGTCAAGTACAGACTAATGCATCACGGGTCCAAATGAACCAGACTAGAGCATTATTATACTGAAGTAGTTGAACTACGACTAATCCAAGGCCAGGATGGCACCAAAATGCTCGCATGTCTTCCCTCTGAATATTGTACACGGGCTGACGGCGGACTGGTCATACATATAATTATAATGCATGCCAGGTACATGGCGCTATTATTATTATTATGCTCTATTCGCGTTAGCATCAGTGAGCTTATAAAGCTCACATATAGCCTTCACTTAAGCCGCAAGAAGGAGCAAGTGAGCGCGAGGAAGCGCAATGCACACAGAGCGTCAAAACAAAACAAACAAACAAAAAACAGAAAAAAAGAGACAAGCTGCAAGAAGGAGCAAGTGAATGCGAGGAAGCACAGTGCACATCAAGCATCACAATCACAAAAAGACAAGATGGAAACGCAAAGTTATGTCCATTGTTGCATTAGCGGCTACATACAACCTTCACCAGGTCCTGCCACTGAGGGCGATCCTGGGCGAGCTGCTGCAGCCTGTTGCAGTCATCTCCATTATCTATATATAAAGGTATAAATTATGTCCATTGTTTCATTAGCAGCTACATACAGCTACATGGCGCTATGGGCAACCAAAGACTGTTGCAGCTCTGAGTGTGATGAACAGGGAACACTCATGAATCTACACAACCCACACAGCCATACTTGCG